CTCCCCTGCAGTGTCATTGTTCTGGCTGCAAACCAAGAGAAGCAATTCACAAGAGCGTGAACTGACCACACATTAATTGATGCATTAAATCTGCTGATCTGTTGAAGAAATATTGAAATGAAAGATGTCAACTAAAACATATCCTAGACTATTTGTGTGAAACTAAATATATAAATAGCACGGTATAAAACAAACGCTTCCACATACTACTACTGAAGGAGCTCTGTAGTGTTTGTGGTCCGCATGTTTGATGATTAGAGATGATTCCCAGCACAGCAACATTGACTAACAGGTCTGACTAAAGGGGTCTAGAGCCTTGATGAAACATCACGGAGAGAACAAATATTAATTATTCATTCATTTAAAGTCGGCATGAGAAGTTGTGATAGTCTTTTATTCCTAATTGTGACATATCTCAGTGAAATGGCTTCTCGGGCAAGAAAAATATAGGACAGGGCTTGATTTAGTCCATTGGGAATTGATTGGATCGTTGGATCATTGTCATTTACACTTAGTCATTTAGCAGACGCTTTTATCCAAAGCAACTTACAACTAAGAACTAAACCAAGCGAGCCAAAAACAACGAAAGAAGTGCTCAAAATACAATGTTCAAGGATTTAAAAGAAAAGGGTTTTTTTATTTTTATTATTTTTTTTTTATGTTAAGTACTCACTGAAGAGATGAGTTTTCAGTTGTCTTTTAAATGCTGACAGGGATTCTGCATTCCGGATGAGGTTGGGGAGATCATTCCACCAGCATGGTACCGTGAATGAGAATGTTCTGGAAAGTGATTTTGAGGCTCTCTGTGGTGGTACCACGAGCCGTCGCTCATTGACTGATCGTAGGCTTCTGCTAGGGATGTAGACTCGTAGTAATGAGTGGAAGTAGGAGGGAGCTGATCCTGAGGTCAATCTGTGTGCAAGTGTCAGCGCCTTGAACTTGATGCGAGCCGCGAATGGTAGCCAGTGCAGAGAGATGAACAGAGGAGTGACGTGGGCCCTTTGGGCTCGTTCAAGACCAGATGAGCTGCAGCATTCTGGATCATTTATAGAGGTTTAATTGCACATGATGGAAGTCTAGCCAGAAGAGAAATGACTAGGGCCTGAACGAGGAGTTGTGTCGCCTGCTCAGTTAGGAAAGGCCTGATCTTCCTGATGTTGTTTATTGGTCTGTGAAGGTCAGCCGATCATCAAAGGTTACTCCAAGATTTCTGACTGACCTTGATGGGGTGATTGAGGAAGAATCTAGCTGGATAGTGAAGTCGTGCTCTAGAGGCAGGGAGGACGAGAAGCTCAGTCTTAGCCAGGTTGAGCTGCAGGTGATGTTCCTTGCCGAGGAACCATGGATCCATGCCGAGATGTCTGCCAAACAGCTTGGGAATCGTACTGTGGGATCATCTGGTTGAAATGAAAGGTAGAGCTGGGTGTCATCGGCATAGCAATGGTACTGTTAGAGAAACCATGTGCCTGTATGATGGGTCCCAGTGATCTGGTGTAAATGGAGAAGAGGAGCGGTCCAAGAACTGAACCCTGGGGAACACCTGTGGTCAGTTGATGTGCTTTGGATACCTCACCTCTCCATGTGACACTGAAGGACCTATCTGTGAGAAAAGTTTACACATAAAGTGCAAAGTTTACACATAAAGTCAAGGCAAATCTGATGAATGCCATGAGACACGATGTAATATATGCAACACAAATATTTGTGTTGCATAAAATAGGCCTGTCAGCCTTGATACCATATATATTCATGGTCAGGAGTGGTGAAATCCTCATTAAACATGTAGTTGTCTCTAGTGAGCCAGATCTAATAGGATTGCACTTAAATGTCTCAGATTGGCCAAATTAAAAATTAATCTTTTGGATGCTAATCCACAAATTGACTGCAGTGCCACTGTAGAGATAGAATAAAAGGTGCTTTACCAGCAAATGTGAAGTGAGGTCAACATTCTCTGTGTCCAAAAAAAAAAAGCATGTCTTCAGAGATCATATCTCTGTATTATACAGTCAGAGAGAGCACTGAAAAAGACACGGTATGAGGTGTGGTTGTGAACATCCTTTAATTTAATGCAAAACACTCTCCGTTTCTGTCTGCCTTTCCCTCTGTTCATCTTTTTTATAAGCAGACATGTGCTAATGAAGTGAAGAAATTGTGCAATGCTTGCAATGTCACACCCATGAAGTCATATTTCACCTCGGACAGACTTTTCAGACATGGAAGTTATTTCATGTCTGAATGAATATGTACTCAAGGATATATTCATCCATCTAATACCATATGAAATGTAATCCGTCTCCCAGGAGTGGATGAAGAGATAATTAGTACTTCTCTCACTCCCTACTGCTGTCTTTCCATCCATTGATGATTCTCTGTGTATTTCTCTCTTTTTTTCATCACTGCACTTATTGAGAAGTGAAATCTTATATTTGATTTGGTTTCCATGGCAGCTCCTGGTGGGGTGTCAATACTGCAAGAGACTGATATGAGCGAATATCATGTTTGTGTGTGTGTGTGTGTGTGTGTGTGTGTGTGTGTGTGTGTGTGTGTGTGTGTGTGTGTGTGTGTGTGTGTGTGTGTGTGTGTGAGTGTGTGCATGTGAGTGAGAGAGACAGGCAGTGTACTTGGGAATAGACGGGAAGGTGTGAGCGTGATCAAATTAGCACACTAGCACTTCTTCCAGTCCTCTGGAGAAAGAAGAGAACAGGTGTAGCTAAAAATCTAGCTTTAGCTTTGCAGAAACAAAAGAAAGAGAGTCAATTGTCTGATGATGTTTTTGAGTTGTGTTTGAGGTGTGCTTAGTGCTTTATTTAAGCAATAACATGTGAGGCTGCATGTGATTTGTGTGAATAAATCTCATAAAAATGAAGCAAAATGTCTGGGTGAAAATCAAAAGAAAAGATCTTTTAAAAAAGATCACTTAGATAATGCCATCTGACATTTACCCCCATAAAATATCCCTATTACACTTTTAATGCAAATAATAATATATTTACGTTGTAAATTTACCCCTAAACTATGATATTGTGGTTTTTACCAAATTTACCGTGATTTAATTTTACAGTAAGATCCCCTTACCGCAATTTAGTTTTACAGTATAATGCCCTTACTGTAATTTCCTTTTAATTACATATTTTTCTGGACAGGATTGTTTTCATTACTGTAATGATATTTCTGATTACAAAACAATGGGAACATGGGGAAAAAATGTTGTATTGAAAATAATAGTGCTAAGAAATCTTACTAAAATTAATAGTTCTTTTGGATTACAGTGCCTGTAATAAGAATTTCACAAGAATAATTTCACAAGAATATTTTATTTATATTTTTTAAAATATATTTTGTAAGTTATAGTTATATGAGGCTCATTCTGTGCATGTTGGGAAGGATTTCTTTAATGTGTGATTGTGTTTGTTGGCTTCCACTCCTCATAGAGTCAGAGTGCATTTCAGTTCTTCGTGAGTGAAGAAACTGCACTAGTCATCCAAGAAGAAAATGGAGGAATGAACCTGACAGAGAAGATTTCTTTATGCACATGAACATGTTGGATGGTGGTTGCAATCGCGGATGGACGAATGGGTGAACAGACCAACTCATGCAGTTTCACAGAATGTTAAAGACTATAGCATGAAATCTACATTACCAACTAAGAGGCTGACAAAGTACAACGTGTCTGTTCACTATAGGTTAGCTCAAAAACACATTTCCGTCTTAAATGATGCATGACCATATAGGATTCAAAATGCAAGTATTATATAAAACATTCAGTGTATGTAATAATACTTTTAGTAAAGCTATATATTAACTGCCAGTGCTAGATCGCCTTGCATCAGAAATGAGTCATAGACAAATGCAGAGAGAGAAAAGGTCAATGGATGTTAGGTTCAGCATCCAGTCCATTTAAGATGTAAGATGACTCGCAGTACAGAAGAAGACAGTGCAGCTGTGAACCATGTCAGCATTTAAGCCTCTTTAAAAGGAGATATCACCATGGCTTGGACACGCTGAAACTTTGCTCACGCCATCCTGTAGGCAATCCCTGAACCTTACTGAACCAGTCACTTGTTATTCAGACTTTAATGTACTGTGATTGTGAATATGTTATGCTGAGATTTCTCCAATACCATTATGCATGTGATAACTGCACCTGTAGCTCTACCTCCACACCACGATGTCACCATCCCGTGAGTAATGGTTGGGTCAGCTTGCTCTCTAGTTTGTTAAAAATAAAAGTTAAGTAACTTTTGTTTATGTAGGCCTATATGACATGGAACAGTGTTTTTTATACTTTATAGTTATGGATGTCAGCATCACGAAAAGCCAAATTTAACAAGAGGTATAGCATTCTCTGTAGGTATACTTCCTGTTTTTCATATAATTTTATTTAACTTATAACGCACTGAAACTACAAACTAAACCCTTTGTTTCTCACTTATCGATCACTGAAAGAAAATTAAGGTATAACAGCAGCAACAGAAAGAACCAGACACAAAATTAAATTAAATTAAATTAAATTAAATTAAATTAAATTAAATTAAATTAAATAAATTAAATTAAATTAAATTAAATTAAATTAAATTAAATTAAATTAAATTAAATTAAATTACAAGAAAAAAATATTACATAATATAATTTGTTAATTAGACCATTATAATTATAAAATGATTTGTATATGACTGTATATATACATATCATGTATAAAAATGATTCATTAAATTAGCCTGTATATGAGAATTATTATTTAAGCTTTCTTGAATTGTCGTAATTTCTCAACAATCTCACTTTATTAACATTTTATGCAAACTCAGTATATCATAAAACATCAGGGATTCAGGATCAAATTGAAAACCCATTATTAAGTGTTGCTTTGTTCTCTTGACACCAGATAATGGCTAGTTTATGTTTTAGTTATCGCCATGTGTTTTTCCTTTCAACTGAAGAAAAGACTTATTGAAATATTGGCTAATTAAAATACTTGTTTGATTTACTTTTTTCCAATACAGAGACTGGAAGAAGGAAGGAAGGATTTGGATCTTTGTTCTTACTGTATAATGTCATCAGCCAATCAGTGTTGTCATGATGTCACCCATCAGCAAAGATGGCATGGCAACTACTTCCAATCAGCCAAGCAAGTGCCATTGAGATGAAGGTAAGGGTATGCTAACAGTTAACATTCTCTTCCTGGTCTTATAGACCATGTATTGTTTCAAGAGACAGGGCATGTATGAATGATCGCTGTACAATCTGTCTGTCTCTGTATTTTATTCATAGAGTGATATTCGAAGATGTCTACCTCTCTCTCACACCATCTCTGTTACTTTCTAATTCAGAAAGCACAAACTGCTGCTCAAGAAAGGAGAGCTAATGACTAGCCTCAGCAGAGAAGCACATGGTGGGGGAGCTGTCAATCAAAATCTTTCATCTGCTGTATGTGGCAACAATTAACGCCTACAAGATAAGGTACACACGCGGTAGACTTCCCCTCCTGCCTCATTTAATAGACAATGCTTATGTTTATTCCATCCGGGTGCACAAAGTGATGCGAAACACAAGGAAATGTAGAAAAAGTGTTGGTCAGGGGAATGTAAGTGTATTGCATGCTCTGGAAAAAGTGCCAGCATTAGTTTGAACGAGACAGACTTTGCTTTTTTCCCTCTGTTTTAAGGGGAATGTAGAGGACCATTTATGCTGGAGGAAATCTTTTATTTAAATTAGAAAGACAAGTTGGAGGAAGTAATTTGGGATGTTTAACTGCTTTTTTTAGTCCAATTTAAGATCACTCTTGCTTTGCTTCACTAGCCACATGCAAAGCCGCGAGAAGGAGCTTTTAGAGCTTCTACAGCTTTTAACCGTGGCCATAGGTGCTGAGTTGTCCTTTGGGTAATATGAATATGTGTGTTTGTGTGAATGCATTCAACTAAGCAGAAAATTACAGATTCAGACCCAAATGTTGTTCAAAGCTGTCCTACTCATATTTTAGCATTCTAGGTCATTCTAGTCCACTGCATCTCCATTTAGGGTTGGTTGGCATAATATTCTTTTATGCCAGTCAATCAGTGATGCATTTATTTAGTCAAAATTGCATTAAAAAATAATATTTTGAAATAATATTGCATTTAAAAATGTAATTTATTCCTGTAATAGCAAACCTGAATTTTCAGCAGTCATTATTCCAGTCTTCAGTGTCACATGACCCTTCAGAAATCATTCTAATTTGCTGATTTGCTGCTCAGTATACATATATTATTATTATTATTATCATCAATGCTGAACATGTTGTTAATATTTTTGTTGATCATACGTGACTCTATATAGGTATATGTTACATGTAGATATGAGGAATGATTCATTCCTCTTAGTCTATTCTATGTGCCAACCAACACTAAAGCCAATGTGCCAAGCATCTCAACTCACACTCTTCTAAAGACTTTAGTTAGGCAACATGATTTATCATGTGCTTCCAAGTATTATTCCACTGTCTCTGCCAATTTACAGTTCCTCCATCATACTATACACACTGACACACAAGCAGTAATGGGACCTTGCGTGAGACATGTAATATGCATTTGACCTCCTGTCTGCGGAGTTACTGAAGCAACGAAGCTGCCTAGGCTACCTGACAAACACACACACAAACAAACATATGTTGCTTAACAAACTACCTGATGATAAGGGAACTGCTCACTGTTCCCACAGATGCTGGCCAACGATCTCCACACTGACAAGTGATTCACACATGCGAGTTTGCCAAACCAAGTTCTGACAGGTGTTAAAATACACCCGTGGACGTGCACGATCGCACAGAGCTGTTCAGGCCGCTGGCAGAGAAGAAATGACTGATTGCATATGTGTTTCTGCATTGCACTTTTCTGGCTGCAAGAGAATTTAGCGCGGACGCCGTCTTCCGCCCAATAAAGTGCTGTCACTTCTCTACAGTCATCAGGCTCTGCTGCTTCCTGTTAAGGGATTCTCGTTCACACGCTCAGTTGTCACATCAGCATCAGAAATGTCAAGTAGAAAGAATGAAATCTTGTGACAGGCCAAGCAAACGGACTCGACTGAAATCTGCGATCACGGATGCAAAGTCCCTGTGAGAAAGTTACAACCATGTAGACATCTGATTACCCACAGTTCAAGACATCCAAAGGTCATGGATGTGTCAAAGGTTTTGTGTGTGTCAGAGAAAAAGAGAAATAAAGGGCCCTATCACACATCCAGCGTAAAAAAACTAATGTTTTTTTTATTTCAGCCTGACGCGATTATGATTTTCACATCCTGCGCCATGGTGTTTAAATAACTAATGCATTTGCTTCCATTTGTGCACCACATTGTTGGCACGTTGCTATTTTGAGGCAACTGAAATAGACTGGCCATTGACCAATCTGGTCTAAAATCAATTATGCAATTTTTAATTATTATTTAAAGAGCTTGTTACCTAAAGGTGGGTCCACAACGCGCGTAAACTGTGTCCCGTAGATGGTCTGCTTACAAGCTTTAACCTTGCGCACGAGCATCCCTTTCTTTACCAGATCCGCTACCAAATTACAGCATGTAAATAGCTCAAGTGTAACTGGCTTTTAAAGGAAATTGGAGATGAGTCTCCATGGCAAAGATTCAACAAGGTGCGGGAAACATTCCTGATAGCAACACGCATTTGCTGCAGATTTGTGCCTGAAGATTTGTGCAGATTTGTACTTAAAGCTACACTGTGTAACTCTTTTAGTTTATTCTTAGCTAAAGTTCTTTCAAAAATATATGTGCTCATTAATGTATATTTACTTCGTTCAAGTAATAAAGTATTCTCGTGAGTGTATAATATGCCATTGAAAATACATACGGGTAAGGGGTTCTAATATTGGACACCATGTTGCCCCTCCGTCTTGAAAGTACGTTAGCCAAAGAGGGACATACCCGTTAATTCAAGCTTCGCCTTTCGCGTTTACTTTTGAGTTAACACTCATGGACGAGGTCGAACTGGAACCCATGTTAATCTTGGACTACATTGGTAGGAGTTAAAACGAAATCGGAATTGAGAGGAACAGAAACTAATATTCACTGGATTGGTTATATACCTTTTCACCGCTAGATGGGGGTAAAAATCACACAGTGTAGCTTTAATCTTGTGAGGAACAAAACTAAAAATAGCCATATTCATTTAAATACTGCTCAAATATTGCTAATATAAATAATACACATCTAGCTTGAAGATCAACTTAACCCATAAAATGCAGATGCTCTATAGGCAGAGAGAGCTGGAAATGTGTCAGATTGTAAGGCCCGAGGTTCAGAGTGCTTCTTGGACAGGAATAGGCATGAATATTCACAGCTGCCAAGAAAAAAACATTCAATATAAGCCTTTTTGTCCTTGTCAATGGCAATAGTGAAACATTTAAAAAGCAATGTGTAGATGTGGTGGGTAATTGGCCTCTAAAAAGCTTTTTACCAAAAACCTATTAATTCAGGGCAGTGGCATCCCGATTGGGGTCAGTGTGAGTGAAATTACAATAAAATCCTGCCATTTTATTTGTTAGCGCTGTTGTGCCACAAGGACAGTTCAAATCCCAGATGCCTTGAAAAGATCTCATCTAGTATAAAGACTAACTGCCAAGGCCAAGTGTACAAGTGCAACCAGGCAAAAAGTGACACATCATGAATCAGGTGATGGGTGATAATCTCCACAAACATTACATGGGAGGAAAACATCCACAAGCTATTAAGTGGGTTGGGGGGGTGAGGGGGTCTTACAGCGGTCTGGCCGTGGCCTGGAGGGATACAATATGTTTGGGATGGAGGGTGACTTTCTGTTCATGATGACATGCTGTTCTATGTAGGAGTGACAGATGTAGGCTGTGCTGCTGCGCCTCAGGAAGAGTGCTGGCACAGTCACAAAACAAGAGGTCAAGAGGTCATATTAGTAAAAGAATGTCCAGCAGGTGGCGGTACAAGTACATTCTGTCAGTATTTACTGACCCCTGTGTTGCAACAAAAAAATGAGATATTTTAGGTGAACTATCCCTTAAAAACTGTGAAAAAATGTACAGATTTATTCAGCAAGGTTTAAAGACTTTAACATTGTTACAATTTTTTTTTGAAATCATAAATCCTGTAAATATGTGTCAGTGTTTCCAGAAAGTGAAAGTCCAGGTTCAGAAAGTAAGCGAGAAAGAGTACATGTCGAATATGTGACGTCACCGCATAACACATTTTCCCTCCACAAATCACGGTGCGATAATTTAAGGAATTAGGTTGAGATGCCTATGTGTTTTGTACCCAAATGTCACCATTCAAACAATGGTTTGTTTAGCGGGATCCGTGTGCTAGTGTTGGTGACGTATATCAAACACGTCAAAAGGATGAAGAGTTGTAGTTCACACACAAAGTCTAACCGTATGAAAATTCTACCCGCTATATTGTAGGATTCTTTACACGAAAAATTGTATGAAAAATTCACAGACAACATATGTTCACATTCATTGCAAAATTCAAACGGGATTAGAAAATAATTGTTTTCTCTCATTCACTTGCATTGACGATTTTTCAACCTAGAGGTCCAGCGGGGTTAGCGGAAGGGGTGGGACTTACCAGCTCTATTAGGAAGGTTGAAAAACTACATAGTGTTACTTTAAAGTCACTTGTTTTTAAACCGCGATATTTAAAAACGGATACAAACGATAGCGGTCATGAAGTAATTACTTATTGAAGTTCCTACTCAGGGGAGTGTGCAGTTTCATATATAGGCTATATATGCGTGTGTGTAATATGAAAATAATATGATATATAAGCAGTGTTTAGTTTAGTATACTAAAAAAAAATAAGCCACTCATGTTGTAAAGAAACTGGCTCTGCTTATTTTATTTTTTGACTGCTTGAAGCTACTTCAAAAACATATCTGTCACAATATCTGTAGGCTACCTTTGAAGATGATGCATGTGGAAGGCTGAATGTTACAAATGCTTTGTGATAGTTTAGTCTGCAGTGACCTCTAGTGGAGGGAGACAGAAGTCAAGTCTACATGCCAGATTCTTGCATGTGTCCTCATTTCATTTTAAACCCAGAGGATCCGTTTCTTTCTCCGCTTGTACACTAATTATGGTTTTGCAATAGTTAGCAAAAACTTAGTAATTGTATTATTTTGTGGCATATTACTCCTTTTGTTTAATTTAAGCCCTTAATACTTTACCGATCAAAGGTTTTGGACCATTAACTTTTATTCAGCAAGGATGCATAAAGTTATATAAAAAATTATGTTGTTACAAAATCAATGCAATGCATGATGTATTTAATTATTAGGCCTATTGTGTGTGTATATATATATATATATATATATATGTATGAGCAGAAAATTAGAATGATTTCTGAAGGACCATGTGACACTGAAGACTAAAGTAATGAACTTTACATCATAGGAATAAATTACATATAAAAATATCTTAAAATACAATACAGTTCTTTATTTTTTATTTTACAATATTACTGTTTTTACCGTATTTCTGACCAATATTTACTGACCCCAAACTTTTGAACAGTATGGAAAATAATAAATATGAGTCATATTTTATTTACCATAATGTTAAAAAATGAGGCTAAATAGCCACAGCTGAGTCATATAAGGCTAATAAAATCTCTCAACAATGTCAGATCTTGTCAAAAGATAAAAAAAGAAACACAAATACAAACGTCCTATTCAATTTTTTATGGTGCTAAGCAGCACATGATATTTAAAAAATAATGTTTGATCTTCACATACTTTTTTGTTTGCTTTGGTATGGCAAACTAATTTTGCATTATGCATATAGGCATGTGTTAACAGCCAAACAAGAAAATCAAGAAAAATAGGCCTATAGTTTTCATCAAACATAATGCATCATACTCAAATCAAATAACCTGAAAACACAGTGTCTCTGTGTGTGTGTGTGTGTGTGTGTGCGCGTGTGTGAGTGTGTTAAACAGGACACCTGCTTTAAGCGACAGCCAAGAATATCAAAACTTGGTCTTGGGGAAGAAACTTTGCCCTGTTTCTTACCAGCTGTTGATCTTTGACTAAGGGAACTGAGAAGTGCTCCAAACATCAAAAGACAAGTCACTCACTGGCTGAAAAACATCCCTTATTGCAGTTGAGTCTAACTGGAAACAATGTGAATGTAAGGGCATGAATTTATTTGGTATGCAGCATGAGGAGGAAAGAAACAGCCTCTCTCTCTCTCTCTCTCTCTGTGTTTGTGTGTGTGTGTGTGTGTGTGTGTGTGTGTGTGTGTGTGTGTGTGTGTGTGTTTGTTTATCAAAGTCAGGTCAACACCACTATTGTTTTCAAGACAATAGATCAAGGGTGGATGTTCACTGGTACTGCTGACTTTATATGGGTCAAGGTGTGCAACGGTTAACCTGTTTACTGAAGGCTGCAGCGTTAAACCTCATTTATATATTTGGAAAAGTAAAGTAAAAAGCTTTGGTGACACCCAATCAGATCTGGTTAATCTGATCAAACACATACACTTTACATTAACATAAACAGTAAAAAGAGAATTTGCTATTTAAAAAAAAATGGTTTTCTGGTATCCATATCCCACAAAAATACAGGAATCTATTGCTCATCTCTCTAGCTGTCACTAAGAAAGTTCTCTAAAACTGGAAGAGAAATCTTGCCACATCAATCACTGGACAAATTTCATTTCAGAATACATTTTAATGGAGAAACACAATGCACACAGAAGGAAGCAAATATCAGCCTTTGAAGACACCTGGTCCCCATTTTTGACATTTCTTAATACCTCACAAACATAACCATAAGCGGTGTATACCTCCCCCCTCCTGTTACGTAAGTTCAAATAAGTATGTATATATAATATGTATGTATGTATGTGTGTGTGTATATATATATATATATATATATATTATATATATTATTATTTTTTTTTCTTTTTTTCTTTCTTTCTTATCATTTTTTTTCTTTTCCCCCTGCAGTTATCACCTACATACACATAGGCATACACAATCCACATTCATGCATAATTATCTTAAGAACACAGAAGAAGAATTTGCTCAAGTTTTTGGTGTTATTGTCGTCGTCCCCACCTATTTGTTGTTTGTCTGTCAACTCATGTCTTACGTGGTGCCATAATCCCCCCTCAACTTATGTACCTAGGGTCTCAACAAAATGGGTTGAATGGTTATGCACTGTATATAAATGTACTATTTGTATTGTAAAACATTGTGTAAAAACATTATTCACTCTCTGCCTTTGTATGTCTTGGTCAGAAAATTATGCACATTGAAGCAGAGTTAAGAACTTATGATAGAAAATAAGATTTTTTTTTCCTTTGCCAGGCTACAGCTCAACACACAGTCCTGTCAAAAACAGAACATCCTCCTGAGGTATAGGGCGAGGGAAAGAAGATAAAGGAAGGGGCAATGGCCTCAGGCTTGGGATAGCCCTCCATAGGGACAGCGATGAGAACTGGTCCTGGATGTGGGCCCACCCTGAGCTCTGTATGACTGAAGTATCCAGGGCTGAGATGCAGTCTGCATAAGAGAGAGATAATCACAAACATGCACACTGAGACTGTAAATAAACATGTCCTGTGTGCGTATCGGAGCTCGGTGGGGCAGTTAGGCCAACAATGCCCTCTGTGAGAAATTGTACTCCAAACATCAGCCATGCCAAAACTAGACAGTCATGGCCGTCGCTTCACCCCTGAACCCAGCGAGGAGGACAAAAGAATATCAGTCATGAAAGGCTTGAGTGTTATCCAAATGCTCCACAAAAAGATTGTGATGACACTTACAATGTGTTTTTCCATCTGTAATTGAGGTAAGGGCACTGTCATCATGACAAGTTTCTCCTTACATAAGCAACATTGGCATGTACCTGTTACATAAAATCATAAATAAATGGTGTGCACTAAATCCACATCATAAACCAACCCAAGATTTGAAGGTGGATTTTATTTAGGCTATAGGCTAACAATAATACTGTTATTTGAGTATGTCAACATCAGTGAGGAAGTAGAAGATCATTCTAGTTTTATCTAAGACACTGGAAAGCTGATCTTTATTGCTTTCATGAGAATAAAATTAATTGGATAATGGAAATAACTTTGCATACTTGCTACACGATTGGAATGCAAACCTAGATTTCATTTGGACTTTGCTTTATGATATCACATCAGTGAGTAAAGAAACTACAGAGTGATTCGCTTTTATGGCCGCATTGTAAAAGTTTTTACTTGAAGGAAACAACCATGTAGGCTATAATACAGTTTCATAAAGATTTAAGGTAGGCCTATAAAGTTAAAGTAAAGGTAGCCTACGTCCTTTTCCATTGAAAAGCAGTTCTGGTAGTTTTCTTTTATTTTCAATATTGTATTATGTTCCTAAATTATTTTAAAGTAGACTTTTCTTCCTTTGTTTTGGTTTATTTACCACTTTAAACACCATTGTGTTGTGCTAGGCGTAGGCAATGTAAATTTTTATAAAATCTAAAATCTATTTGCTTGTCTTACTCTGTAGATACACTAAAGTCGCCGTAATAATTCGCAAATAGTTTAGATTAGTTTAAACCTACAATTAGACCCATATCTACATTTTTAGTTCTCATAATAAAAGTTTGAAGTGTTGTTAGTTTATTTGTTTATTTACTTTTTGGACTTTCTATGCAAATTGGGAGTTTATTTATTCGTTTGTGTTTATTTTCTTCGTCTAACACGCACGTTTTTTGGGGCGATTATATATTTACTTGTGTTCATTTTCATTCTGCCCTCATGAAGTTGTGAGAACGAAGCACATGTGAATCATGCCCACAGTGTTGTCTATCCTGTCTCTACTGCGCATGCTCACATGGTTGACGTGCGCTGAGCGCTGAAGAAAAGGAACAGCAGGCGCCATGCGCTTCCATCAAACTTACGGCTCGCGCTGAGACTTCACAAGTGTCAAACCATAGATGTCGCGGGAATGTGAGAGCGTCACGTTGCCCTCCGTGAACTGTAATGAAATTGGCAGCGGGGGCGCAGGGACAATTTCGCTTGTGGATACTTGTAGAGAAGTTACAGGCTGATACTGTAATACTGTAATACAGCACAGCTCTGAAACATGGAGGGAAACTCAAGGGAAAGCGACAGTCTGGAGCGAGAGCGACAGTACTGCGAGCTGTGCGGGAAAATGGAGAACCTAATGAAGTGTGGACGGTGTCGTAGCTCCTTCTACTGCAGCAAAGAGCACCAGAGACAGGACTGGAAGAAGCACAAACGGGTGTGTAAGGAGGCCGAGAAGCAACAGAAGCCGCCGCCGCCGCCGGCTGAAGAGCCCAGCGCCGAACAGTGCAACACTTCAGAGTCGAACTCTTCTCAGAGTGACTCTACTCTTACGTCACCCGGCGAAAGAATGTCAGATTTTATCAAGTCCGCCACCGGTTCTGACAGCAAACCGACCGCGGACTGCTCGAAACCCAACGGACAGACGCGGTCGACCCCTCAGAAACTGGCCACGGACTATATCGTGCCCTGCATGAACAAGCACGGGATCTGTGTGGTTGACAACTTCCTAGGTGACGAGATCGGACACAGTATTCTGGAGGACGTGCAGGCGCTTTACCTGACCGGCGGATTTACGGACGGGCAGCTGGTCAGTCAGAGGAGCGACTCGTCTAAGGACATTCGGGGGGATAAGATCACCTGGGTGGAGGGGAAGGAGGCCGGCTGTGAGAGAATAGCGTTTCTCATGAGCCGCATGGACGATCTGATCCGACACTGTAACGGGAAACTGGACAACTACAAGATCAATGGAAGAACGAAAGTAAGTAGAGCTGTCATTAGAGAACTGTGATGCCTGATACTTGCGCTAAGTAATTTTGTGCTAATTAAAAAAGTTTGATACAATACAAATCAGAGATTTGAGAAATATCTTTAAAATGAAAAATATACGGCTAGATACGGACTCTATATACTGCTGTGTTTATTCTACAATTTCCAAAAGGTAAAGCCTACCATATCAGGGCTGCTGCTTGGCTTGCCGTATTAACCGACCAATCAGATTTATGCCTAACTTGTGTCACATGACCAGCCACACAACCGCTGCAGGTAACCAGATGCGGACCATTAACATGCAAAAAAAAAAAAAAAAAAAAAAATTCTAATCTTTCTATTATACAGTGTTACTGTCACTATACTGGATTTTCCACCGTCGATACCTTTAAAACAATCAATACGAGTAAAATATATACCTCCATAAATTTTTTTTTATATCATAAACACATATGTCTTTGAGACTTTATATCATGCAATCATGCAATTCTGACTTTATAACTCACAATTGCAAGTTTTTATCCCACAATTCTGACTTAATAACTCACAATTCTTTGAAAAAAAGTAAACTCGCAATTATGAGAAGAAAAGTCGAATTGTTAGATTAAAAAGTCGCAATTAATTTTTCAGGTTTTATATTTTCAGAGTTTTACAGTTAGTTATCTAATAGTAGTTAGCTATTAGGTACAGACATTTAATAAAGTAGCCAAATGTAAAATAACTGTGAATGTGATTATGGGGTGTTTCAACCGAACCAGGAAAGAAAATGCCTCTGCACTCAATTGGATAGACATTCAACCAATCAGAGCAACGGAGTAAGTGACGTATGTTCTTCATTCATTCTTCTTTCTGACCGACAAATGCCTTGATCACGGGTCTCTGTTCCTCTTTTAAAATAAGTGCAATAAGCCACGAAAAAGAAGTCGATTTGTCTCTCGCGAGCTGTTTGAGAGGTGGCTTTATGTGTGCGCCACTTATACAGATCAGTGGCGTACTCGCTTTTTGTGTGTAGATATCTTCTATAACCGACGCGATGGTGGAATCTTCACGTTTCATAAACAACGTTCGAGAGGAGCACGTTCAAATAATCAATCCAACCAACTTGTCATCTAACAATACCATAGCATTACCCTATCAGCATGAGAGGAAGCATATTCACTCTGTCAACTCACCTAACATTCCTTGACAGTTTTCAGCATCCCTCCACCACTCCGAATCCTCACGCTTCGCTTGTTCTTTATGGGAATACGAGGGGAGCGAGTAAGTGTGAACTCGTGGAATCTCAATTCTCCAGCGGCAGATGATGTTGTAAACAAATTCATCCCAAGCGCTCTTTGGTGACGTGGATGATTACATAACTGTTGATTATCTGTCCATCATCGTATAATGGCCGCCCTGGCAATTTGATTGGCCCGACCATTTCTGAATCAAGCATGATTACTCCTCAATGGATCGAGTCCAGATCGAACTTCCCAACCAAAAAAATGTTGTGGGCGGGGTTCGGTCTGGCATCCAGGCTACCGTTCAAGCACAAGAAGACGTAAAAGCTTATTTCAGTATCCACCTGCTGGGATACCCGGCTTTCTGGGTTGTCTTTCACGCCATCTTTAAGTGCAATAAGCCACGAAAAAGAAGTCAATTTAGCTCTCGCGAACTGTTTGAGAGGTGGCTTTATGTGTACGCCACTTATACTGATCATGCTTTTTGTGTGCGAAACCTGTGGGAATGATTAAAATTATGCACTATTCAATCGGAGCGAATGAAACAAGTGAGTGAGAAAAGGCGGGTGTGTGTCAATTTAAGAAAGAGTGAGAACGTGCAGCTGGTATCGGTGAATTCGATATTGCAGAAAAGGAATATTGATACCGTTTTCAATATTTCAGTGTCGATACATATCGAAATATCAATATTTTTGACAACACTATTATTCAGTTTTGGTGTAAATTAACTAGTTAATTAGTAAACAAAGTCATGCCGATAAGTGTGGAAAGGGAAAGCAGAAAATATCGGGTCATTTTAAAGGCCTTGAAATTCATAAATTTCAAAGCCAATTTCTCTATAGTTGCGCTTATCTCTACTTTGTCTATTGCAATAGCTATGAAATTATTATTTTATTATCTAGTAATGTCATGGAAATTAATTAGTCAAAATGTTTGGGAGCATATGTTTGGGGGATCAAGTGAAAGCCTCAATTAACACTACAGCACATCTTTTTATGGATTAGGTTAACTCAGATCAGATTTGTAGCAAACATAAAAAAAAAAACAATTCTGAACTAAACACATTAAAGACTCTGAATATATGCACCATCAGGTCTCTCCCCCACATTCAATTGTTCATGAATTTTCTATCCCCGCAAAAATGTCAGGCTGACCGTTTTTTTTTTAAACAGGAGCTTCCTTTGGGGCCACAGACTGTTACTGATAGTGCCTTTGTGAGTTATCCATGACCAGCATGGCTCTCATATTTCCCCAGGTCAGGGAAACGCCTGCGACCACCAGCTGCTATCAGGCGTACCCAACGCATGCCATGCACAATGTTTGGACAAACCTCCAACCTCTCAGGGTTTAGGGAAGCCATCACCTTTTCCATCTTGCTGTAAACAC